TTTTTCCTTGATATTTTTCCCCTATTGATTTAAAATCGTATAATCGAGAGTTCTCTGCATGCTGTTTTATTACGAGAAAAGAGCTTTCCTTCCAAAAAATAAACGAGAGAGAAAGAGAGAAAATCCAGTGCCAAATGTATATCTTCCCAGGCGCACGGAGATGTTTGCTCAACAAGTGCGACTGTACTATAACGATTTTTGTTTCTAATTTTTGGTGACGTGCACTTAGTCCCACTAATACTGCGTGTCCATGCAATGCCAATGATAGTGCTCATGCGATAGTGAGAGCACACAATATTTTCGCCAAAAATAGAAGGTAATTATTTTAAGAATCAATTAAATAAATTAATATCAATTAATATAAGTGCAATATATTAAACGTATAATGTAATTTTTTGACATTGCGATACAATGCGTGACGTATAAAGTATAGAGAATTGAAAGAAATCTTATCGACACACATACGGGTACCGATATTTAATTATATTTACTCAATTATGCAATCTCAATCATGTCTCACAAATATAGATGACTATTCCTGTGAAGACACGCAGAAAGTGCGGACAAGCACGCTGCTATTGCATTCGGATAATTATAAATTGACACGATTATTAGTGTCGCTAGCGGAACACTAGATAGACTCGTAGATAGATAGATAGATAGACGAATATCTCTGTGCGTGCGTTTAATCACAAAAGTACATTTTTTCGAGAAAGATTGAAAAGAAAAGTTTAAAAGTATATACATCAGAATAATATTCTTATTAATAATTTTTAAGATTATAAATATTCTCTATTATATATATTATATTACTCTTCAAGATAAATTTTTATTACTTGCATATGTATGTATATATGCATGTATATATGTATATTTATTAATATTTTATATAAGTTATTGAGTGAAAAAAATACTTCAACCTCTTTTTGAATCATTTTTATAAATTATTTTCACCTTTATTTGTTTTTTTTAATTAATTTTTAATACTTTAATGTTTAAGTGTGTAGACTTTTATGATTGAGCGCACGTGACGTCTACGAATAAGTATGATATAATGCGCGCTGATCGGCCGAATGTGTGCACAGTGGGCGCATTATACTCGTATATTAATCTCGCTGAAATATTCCAAGAAAGTCTGTCCATTTTTTCGAATGTCTCGAAAGTATTTTAATCTCTATTATCTTGTCTTGTGCACCAATTGGATGCAACGCCATAAAAATCGCGTTACATCGCGCAATATACATATATATGTATATATAGGGTGTTCCTCGTGAATAAATAAACCAGGACAGCCTGTAAAAATCTTACACATCTACGCAAATACACACAGACAAAAGATATACAAACTAGCTTAAGTTTGGTGCTAATGGGACGAGATAAAAAAACACACACACATATAGGAAACAAGATATACACGTACATACACATGTTTCCTATACACAAATGCGCGCTTCCTTTATAGACGCGTAGAAACGCGTCGATTAATTACGTCGAATCGTAATCGCGGCAGCGGAGTCTCTTTTGATCTCACGCGTCGAATATTACAATTGTATACAAATGGATGCGGATATGAGAGAATGTATTTGCTGGTGCACACGTTGCATATCAATCCTTCAGCTCGTATTCGTACCGTATTTTAATCAATACCAACTGCAGCATCGAGATCCTTGCGGGAAAGATCATGCGAAGACTGTGTTTAGTCTTAAACGCGCTGTTAAATAATTCAAAAGAATAAAACGGCTAATAATTCGTGCAACCTGTGTACCAGTGAAGGATATTCTCTGGTAAGCTTTGGTTCGTTGAAACAAAATGCCGTCTCCTGCTTACCTCCCTCTCTTAATTAATTTAAAGAGAATACAATTTCGATTAAATTAAATGATACAAATAAATTTAAATTATAAGATTTTAAACATAAAATAGATTACCAAAAGAATTGATACAAGAAAACAGACTTTCTCAAGAATTACATCATCATTATGTGATCACTCATTGTCTTCCTTCTAAAGGATGTTTTTCTCTTTATCCTTGCATCTTTATAAATTATTATAAAATCGAATTTATAAGCGTTATTTAAAAAATTTGACCTGCAATCTACCGATGAATTACTAACGCAGTGAATATATATACATTTCGTGAAAAGAAATATTTCGCGTATACACAATACAAAAAAATTACATGAAAAACTTCTTTACCGCTTTCTTTCAAATCTTTAAAAAGAAGGGAAAAATCGTTTATTTAGATAAAAAAAGATACAAACTTCTAGTCATTATAAAATTTCCTACTCTGAAAATGAGCATTATTACAAAATATAACACCCTTGTATATATATATAACCGCAAATAAAGATATTTTGTACTATTTTAGAGTCTATAAGTATATGTAAAACCGCAGAGAAGACGCGTTCGATTTTGTCTTAAATTCGTTACTCGACATTGTGCCAATAGCGAAATTTACAATCGATTTTAGAATTTATCACACACACGCGATATTATTAATATATAGCAATTCTAAAAATTAAAATAGAATTTTTTAACTTAAAGATAATGCTTCCTCATACAAATAGTGACTCATGATGCTCTTATCGATGACCTCTGGTATCCTCGATAACATTTTGGACCTTCCATAGTAGAATATCAATCGTCTTCCATAAAATATCGCGTTATTATAAATACAGCATATTCTCTCTGATTCGCATTAAGAAATTAACATTTCTTCCTTAACATTTCCTTATCTCTTTTTAGAAATTATAATAAATTTCTCTTTTTGATACAAAAAAAGATAAAAAGGATAGAACCAAAACTTTTTAAAACAATTCTAGTTTTAAACAGGGAGATTAGAAATTTAACGTTACGAGCTTCTTTTCTTTTTCAATACTTTTTTTAAATTAAATGTTTTTCAATCAGATTTAATTATTAATTACAAAAAATTAATTAAGATTGGGAGACATTAGAACGACGGCATACTTCAAATCTTCCATAATGACTCTTAAATGTTAAATAATACTAATTGTAAGGTGTAAGAAGGCTGAGCTCCTGCAAAATGAGCGCGACTTGGTGTGAGCTGGGAATACATTCGTGCGAGGAAATAAATTATTTATTTGTTTACAATATATAAACGAGATGCGATTCACGGTTCGGGCAGCTCGCGCGATTTATTCAATAATTACAATATTGGCTATTGTACGAGTCACTCATTTTCAGCCGCTCCCTAATATTACGATATAAAATTAAATATAAAATTAGTCTTAACTTCTTCTTACATAAACATAATTAAATGATCGTTTCTAATTTGAAAAAATGAAGTATTATTTTTTACATTTATGAAAAAAATGTTTAACATTTTCATGCTCAGGATTTTTTGCAATTAATATTATCAATCATGAGTAAAGTAATACTATATATTTAAATAACTGAGAAATTATTTTTATACTAGATATCGATAAAAATGTTCTCATTTGACAAAATGTATAATCAAATCTCCGTGTTGTTAATATATCGAAGCACGGAATATAATTTTTCTGTTCCCAAGCTCTTCTCCTTTAGTTTTCAAAATTGTTATTATTATATTATTTTCCAAATTTGATTGTAAGCACGAAAATATCATTGTGTGCAAAGTAAATTCTAAGTGGAAAATGATAAAAAACATGTATAACCATGATGTGAAAAACAACGTAAACGATAAATTAAATTTATTAGAGTTTAAACTGATTAGAAATAGAAAGTTCAAAATATACATGAAGGTTCGATTGTAATTTAATTATCGCACAAATTTCGGAGCAGTTTCGGGAACAGCAGTTTTTGAAAATACGTGGCTCGTACAAAAGGCCAATTATCGTTGTAAATATCGCAGCAAGTGCGAACGCCCGTGAATATGAACCGTCTAAAAAGTGCATAAAATGTACGTATACGTACTGTAAGCGTAAAAAGGAGAATTCTTGTAGTACTTACGATCATGCGCGTCGAAAGCGATCGTCAGCGAGGGCTTAACGGGACGTATTGTGCATTATGTGTCGGAAAGGAAATAAAATCAAAATCGATCGATCGAGAATCCGTGTTTCTTTATCCGCCATCCCTCTCTCTGCCTTTGTTCATTACTTTAATCTATAGCGTCCTGTTGAAAAAATATTTTTGTATTGCTGGCTTATCGGTTCATCCGTTCGAGATCATTGATCACTGAAATGTGAATTATATACTGGATTTTATGTAGAAAGATTTGTAATTTTGTTCAATCAGTGACCAAAGTTTTTGGCTGAGAAAGAATAATGAAATTGCAAAATTAATTCTGCTACAAGAAAACAAGAAGAATAAAGTTTACAAATACAGTCTTATTAATTGTAAAGTAGTGCATTGTAATTATATCGACTTAAAAGTTCAACTGACCTGAATATCTCCACTTGATTCTTTTAGAAAAAAATGTAAACGAAAAAAATCGCATTATTTTACTCGTTTATTTTCACACGATGACATCCGTACCGTTCTCTGTCTTTGTTCAAACTTTCCTCGCGTTTCAATCTTCCGCCGAGATTCTTCTCAAAGACATAAAGTAGGAGAAATCTAGAAAGGAAACTACCGTAAATTTTCCTCATAGATAAATAATGATACAGACGCGGGAGGGAGATTCGATAACATTTCCTTTCCGATTGGTTGCTATTGCGAGAAACCCTAGGAATCTTCCATTCGATAACCAATCGTTACGTCGTACGGCAGATGCAACGTGACATCTCGACCAATGGAAATGTCACTAGAAAACAAATTCTCTCATTGGACACGGTGCGAATCTTTTATAACCTCATCTGTAACTGTTTACACCGCTGCTTCGCGTCCATATCATTCATCACCTTCGCATCTTCGGCTCGCCGTCACCACCCGTGCATACATACGTATCATCTCGCATATCGCCACCCTTGAATCGCGTATGATGTCCCGCGCGAACAGCCAACAACGCCGGTCGTGAGTGTTCGTGAGTGGGAGCGTTCGCGAAGAGGAGGCCCTGGAGAGAAGATGCTCTGGACGGCGATGAGCGGCGTGATGATTCTGTCCAGCGTGGTGGCTGTCACCGCCGCCCTGCATTCCTCCACCGCTCTGAACGGCGGCGGCGGCGATACCCTCGCCCATCACGGCCGTTGCGAGCCCATCACCATCAATCTCTGCATGAACATCGCGTACAATGAGACGATCATGCCGAATCTGATGAATCACCAGAAGCAGGAGGACGCCGGCCAGGAGGTGCACCAGTACGTGCCGCTCGTTAAAATGAAGTGTAGCCCGGATCTCCGTTTCTTTCTGTGCACCGTTTACGCGCCGGTCTGCACCATCATCGAGAAGGCGATACCGCCGTGTCGGTCGCTCTGCGAGAGCGCCCGTTCCGGTTGCGAAGGTCTGATGAATAGCTTCGGCTTCGCATGGCCGGAGGCTTTAGATTGCTCCAGGATGCCGGAGAACGACGGCACGGAGCTCTGCGTGGCTACCAACGACACCACGACGCCTCGAGAACCAGCCGCACCGGTTTATCCTCCGCCTCGTATGCCGGTAGCGGAGTTTCAGCCAACCTGGAACGAGGGTCCTAAACCTTATGGCGGTAATGGCGGGTTCGCCCTGGGTGCCAGAGACTTTGGCTTTGTCTGTCCTGTTCAATTTAAGGTTCCTCACGGATTAGGATATTCGTTGAAGGTCGGAGACAAAGTGGAGCCTGATTGCGGGGCGCCCTGTGACGGCATGTTCTTCACAGAGATGGAGAGAAGATTCTCAAGAGTCTGGGTTGGCACTTGGGCCGCTATTTGCGCCGCGTCATGTTTCTTTACCTTCCTCACCTTTCTCATCGATACGGATAGATTTAGGTAAAGTTTCTTTTCTTTACAAATCAAACTGTGTAATATTTTTGCGGGATGTATCGCGTAACAACTTTGCACATTACAAGAATGTATAATATTGTTTGAACATGATAAATATGCTGTATTACGTTATATTTAACATTTGTTGCAATAGATCATTAAAGAGTTGAAATAAGTTTACATTAATATAAATATAGGCTTCTAGTTGTATATATCAAAAGCAGTTGAGTTTAATTACTTGAGAATTACATTACTTGTTATTGCATACAACAGAAAATAATAAAAATATAATATAAAAATATAATAATAATAAATAAATGATGTTTTACAGGTATCCCGAGAGACCCATCATTTTCTTGTCCGTATGTTACCTGATGGTAGCATTGGTTTATGTGATTGGTTGGGCAGCGGGCAACTCTATATCTTGCAGAGAGCCATTCCCACCACCTATGGGCATTCGAATACAAATGGCATCGACAATTACACAGGGTACTAAACATGAACTGTGCACTGTACTCTTCATGGTTCTTTACTTCTTTGGTATGGCATCGAGTATCTGGTGGGTTATCCTCACTCTCACATGGTTCTTGGCTGCTGGATTAAAGTGGGGGCACGAAGCGATCGAGACTAACTCGCAATACTTTCATCTGGCTGCCTGGGCTGCCCCAGCTGTAAAGACTGTTACTATCTTGGCGATGGGAAAAGTGGAAGGTAAAAAGAGATAGTTAAAAACAAATATATTTCATATAAAAATGTAGATATGTACAGTTAAATGGAAAGTTTTTCACTTTTATTTATTATTGTCATTGTATATATTTATAAAAAAAAATTTTATTTTTATCTAATTAATTTATTTTACAGGTGATATATTATCCGGGGTTTGCTATGTCGGTCTTTGGAACGTGGAGGCTCTTCGAGGTTTTGTATTGGCACCGTTATGCGTCTATCTTTTACTGGGTACTGCGTTCCTTCTGGCGGGTTTCGTCTCGCTCTTTCGCATACGCACAGTGATGAAACATGATGGCACAAAGACGGACAAGCTTGAAAAACTCATGATTCGCATCGGAATTTTCTCCGTGCTGTACATCGTACCTGCCTTGATCGTAATCGCCTGTCTCTTTTACGAGCAAGCATATTTCGATCAATGGATGCTTACATGGAATATGGAAATGTGCTCACGTCCGGGTCTGCAATCTCTCTATTCATTGCCGTGCCCGGTTGGTGAACGTACGCGTGATCTTGGTCGCAGACCAGAATTCGAGGTCTTTATGATTAAGTATCTTATGGCGATGATTGTCGGCATAACCAGCAGTTTCTGGGTATGGTCCAAGAAAACACTCACCAGCTGGCAACAATTTTTCCATCATATACGAGGTCGCCGCGCTGAGGCCTATGTTTAAGTTCGGAGAGCTGCGTTTGCTCATTAACATTTCTATATTCCTTTTATAATCCCGAGAAATCAGTAAATTTGAAAATTATCATAGAGACTTATGAAATTTTTCAAAATCAACATTTGGATCAAAATAGATTTGTTTTTCAACATAGATTTTTGTGATTCATATTTATGTTGTATTGACTAAAAGAATATTATTAGTAGAGAGATATGATAATTATCAATAATGATGCTAAAACGTATACATCCATTAAGTCGATAGCTATACTAGCAGGAATGATACTAGACTTCTCGGTATTATGTTCTTTTGCATACTGTAAAAAATGTCATTTTTCATTGTAATCAGTAAGCGTTACAATCAGTACCCAATCATTAGCTTTTAACAAAAATTTTAATTCATTATTTAATATTGACAGAAGTCTAAAATTTTTCGTTCGATCTTTTTTATATATTTTATTTATGTAAACTTTATTTATATTATATATTTTTTCGCAGTCTCTAATTTTTGGGAACTCCTAGTTTATGCAGTCAAATCAGATCTGAATAAGCTAGCAATATTTCACACATGCTTTGTGATTCCCTCATGATAATTAAAGGCGTGCATTAATATGCATCCCAGTGCCAAATAAGTTTTTGTCTCTGATATTTCTTTATCGTGTGATCAATAATTTTGTGACCGATTAAATGTCAGTTAGTTTAAAAGTATTATTAGACAGTTATTCTTTTTTACGAATGTGACTATGTTTAAATTGAATGTACTCAAATGCTGTAGCAGACAAATCAAATGTTCAAAGTTTTTAAAGCAGCTAATTGGATCTAAGGGTATCAGATCCGATATGATATAAGAATTAAGATTTTAAGCAAATTCGGTTGAATGTAACTAATGTGCATTGGTGCATATTATGTCATACATAAATTGACATAACACATATTAAATAATTGGATTCTTTAAATGTTCAGCATAAGTTACATTGTATTATTTTACACAATACATATTGAACATTTTTATTAATCAAAAGACTTATATATGTTATGGTTTTTACTAATATATATATATATATATCTATATATATTATTAACACAAGCTTTAGTTTACACCAGTGCACATAATCTTTGCATTTAATCGAATTTTTCAATGTAAGGATTAAGAGATTCACGGATTTTTAATAATCGTGAATCATATTTCATACTGCCGAATTTTTTCGAATTCTGATTTTATATGATAGAGAACTGAAATCTATTACGCTTAATTTGTACGGAACGCACTTATATATAGGAAGTAAAAGAAATGCAATAATACTCAAGCGAAGACTTTAACGGCGTGGCACTTGTTAGCTGTACGTCTTCCTTTTTTTCGTTTTTATACTTGTTAAGAAATTTTTCGATTCTTTTTCTGTGTGACGAATTTATCGTTTAGACTATAATGTCGAATATCCAAGTTCATCGCGTCTCGAATTTCAACGAGATTAGCTTGTAAGATTATTGGCTCCTAAGTATGCAGCTTTAAGTTAACACGTTGTATATAATTATATGCGTTCTTTAATATATTCTATACTCCATGTATTATAATATATTTTTAAAGAACTCTGTACATATATATACATCAACATGTTATGCATGATTAAACGTACGCGAACAAACCGCAAATTCGTCCAAAATGAAATTGCCGAGCTTTTGTCTATAAAAATTTCGTGCTACATACAAATACAATACGCGTGATTATTATATTAGTGTGGCGCGCGCGATATATATCAATTTCGTCAAATACACGATATAAATTTTATGGTCGCTATATTCTTTATATAATAAACGAGAAATGCATATATATATATATATATATACATGTATAGTATATATGTGTGTGAAAATTTTAATTTGTTTTGCCTTTATTTACAGATAATTTTTTTACAGATGATTATGTGGTAACATTTGAATATAAATATAAATGTGTGCCTACACCTTTTATAATTATACAAAAGAATTGGATTTGTAAATCATACAGAGAAAGATAACAAGGTTTTGCTTATCTCGATCTAATCCAATGACAAAATCCTATATTATTAATTCTATCGATTCATTTATATTTATACAAAACATACGAATCGATATTACATATATAAGATACAAATATTATTCTAGAAAACTTATGTATATATGTCATATGATATTGGTAAATATCACCATAAATTTCTTTTTATAACAAATTTAATAGTGTTTTATCGTTGCACCGGTCACCTCTTGTCCAAATGTGACATGATATATTTTAACATGCAAGAGATATTTTAAAGAAATAATAATTAATAGTTAAATATAGATCTTTACGAAGTTTTTACTTTCGGCATTTTGAGCCAGCCGATTTTTCTTAGACGTTTTACTATTATTGGAGTTACAGACAGAGAAAACGATATTCGAATAGGCGCAAGTAGTTTATGAACGGTGTACGCTAAAATGAAATCCGTTGAAGTTTTCAGCACTTTATCGATTTGCTCATTTCCATTTGTCCACTTCTGTACAAAAGGCATCACATCAATTCCACTAAAATTAAAAATTCATATTAATGGAAAAATAAAAGATTTCTTTGATAGATTTTGAAAAACAATAATTTGAAAGAATCGTGTTAATAATAAAATATAAAAGAGATATAAACTATTTTGAAAATCGTTATGTTATGTGAAATACAAAGAGAAAAAATTGGTGTGTTAAAATAGATGAATTATGAGTTAATTATATATATTTATGCTCCAGGAGTTGTACACATTTTGAGAAATTTGAGAAAATTTGTTTAATTTATACGTTTCATAAAAAAAAAATATATATGTGTGTGTGTGTGTGTGTGTGTGTGTGTGTGTGTGTGTGTGTGTATATAATTTCTTATTATAATTCTGCGCGATATTTTTTAATTGAAAGAAAATGTGTACAATTTCTAGATCTTTTGTGACTGACCTAATGACCACCATGTAACAACAACCGAGACATATCAGCGAAAAAGTAATGTGCACAGCAAGGAGAGTGCCACCATAATCCCGCAACATCAGGCGAAATCTTTCCCGCTTTGGCATGCTAGCGATCGCCAATGGTGTCAGCAAATCCTTTTTGGCGCCCTTTGGCGCCTGGAAGCCATCAGTCGAATAACTCATTCTGACGACACAATTTGGCCAGCATGTCGTTCGTAAAAGAGGACTCGTTATGAAGATATTAGTTGCAGCATCTGAGCGATATAATTGTCTGATGTGAATTTCTAGCTTACAGAAACTTTCAGTTCTTATTTATCTTGAAGATCTAAGATTCTCAAGTGAAGAACTTTTGCCCGAGCTTATGCGATCATCGAACATTGCTTACCATGCAATTAATCAGTATAAAGGAGATAAAAAAAACTGTATGAATTTTTAGATTGCCATGAAAGTATTATCAATTTATGATGCAAATCTTTGAATCCCAGTAAAATAAATTTTCAAATTCTTAATGTATATAATGTATATAATTATTGACAAAAAATAATTTAATTAAAAAACCTATTATATTGGTGTATTTGAATAATTTATATATATTTATAACTAATTTTCGCTATTCTTATTATATATATTCTCAAACTCAAAGGATCAGGGCATTATCTTCTAGGATTCAAAGGACAAAAAGATGTAAGTCGCAAAAAAGCTGAGAATGAGAAAACACCTCTACCCTTCAGAATCCACTCAAAGGTCGCTCTTACACGACAGTTTGCGATAATGAGAGCGCTGCATGTCCTCGGCAATGTATTTGCCGCTGCGAGACCATTGTCCACCAGGCATGTTGAGATGCATGGATCTGCCATGTGATGAAAAGGGCTTTGGCACGTTGCTCTGCATCGTGCCGTTTAGACTGATGGCGCCGAAACAATCGTACGAATCCATATGGCCATTATCGCGAATCTTGGGAAAACCGGAGCAATTCACCATGGACACGATTGCGCTGCCATTTTTCTCGGTATATAGAGCGACATCGCGCACACGTTCTGGCGTGAAGCGACCGGTCTCGTTGGCGAAGATGTCGCAGACATTATTTGGTAAATCGAGTATCGGTGGATCTGGATAATGACGTACACTCGTCACGTGCAATGCCTGCTGCTTCCGATGAATCGCTGCTGGAGTTGCATACTGTATTTCCAAAGGTGCTACAATTTAAAAAGGAGATTATATTATTATATATTGTAATATATATGTTGAGGCAAAGAAATTTATTACATTATTAGGTCTTATACAGGAAAGACAAGCAAAACATTATATTAAGCTAAATATAAAAAATTATGTTTAAAGTTAATTATATATATGTGGAATAATTTTTAAAATTATGATATAAATATATAATTTATTATATATATTATTATGAAAAAAGAAGATTATCATATCTATGCGTGAAATAACTATAATGTTTACTCTTTATATTTTATAATAAAAATAATAAATGATGTTAAAATATTTGCAATATTTACAATTACAATATTTTATACATTATATTATTATAATGTTTATATAATATAATGGAAGTTTATATGCAAAATCTAAATGTATATATATATATATATACATTTATAAAATATATATATATATATATATATATATATATATATTTTATAAAATGCAAAAATTGTATAGTAAAATTTTAATAATTTTATAAGATAAAAATGATAAGATTTATATGTATGGTAAGATGCTAGAGTAAAATAAAAATTCTTTTCTAAGGAATTATGAATTTGCTATAAACATATAAATTTGTCAGTGATAAAACTGAAAAACAAGTTATAATGTTGACTAGGTAATTAATGACAAAAACATCATTCAATATTCATCAACTAGGCTAAATATATCAATGAAATTTATGTACTTTGGACTTTAGAAAAAAGTGCAAATTTAAAAAAAAGTAGATAATTTAAATGATTCTCTTCAACTATAATTGTTACAAATACTTAATATATGATGTACAAATATTTGCTGCATAATGATATAATGGAAGAAAAGTATTTTCCAATAATTCCTAAAAACATAAATGAATTTAGTAGAGTATTATTTTCCTAACATAATCATTACATAATGTAAATTAAGATCCACAGATACATCTAGTCTGAAAAAGCACTTTCCATCATTGTTTAATATATTAATAGTTTATATGCATCTTATTAACTGTACAAAAGATTGTAACATTATTTTAATGTAATTTTAGCAATATTGTGTATTGTCCTTGTGATAAAATGGAGCGCAATAATGATACAATTGCGTAAAATTACTTTGTACCTGTGCGTGGAATGCGAATTAAAGTATTCAACATATCCAACGTGCCGATTCTCGATAATGCCATTGTTGAATTACGAAATATTCAAGATTGCATGCGATACGTCAAATACCGCCAAAGTTAACAAACTAATCTGGAAACGAGAGAAATGATCTTGATTGCACTGTAACTGCGCATCACTTTAACATAATCGGAGACATAACACTTGAATTCACTAATGTCTGGATTTTCTGGAATCGCCTTTCTCTTTCCAAAGCCAGCCGCACACACCCGATGCTCATTGGTCCATATAGCCTTTAGGGTGCTTTTCATTTAACGACACAAGTCGACACAAGTCATTCTATCTTTATTTATTGTTGTTATTCACTGAAAATCTTAATTATTAAATTATATTATTATATTATTTATTACAATAAATTAATATGTTATTATATTATATAATTAATAAATGAACATGATAGGCATTATATACATTAATAAATTGAAAATTTATCCTGTTTCTTGCTGCTTGAATAAAGTAACGTTTTCCGATTGACCAATCGGAACAAAGAGCTCTGCTGCTTTCCTGATTGGTCAATCGCATGATATCACTCCAACGAGTGGAAAGTTTCGAACGCACTTCTTTATTGCCAAAGGTCAGATGTGTCTCTTGTATCTACGCACATCTGCGGTGATCGTAACAAAGTATATACATCAATATATATTTATATATACGTTATACGTGTACACATCGCGATTTCAATTTCTCTGTTTTTTTTTGTTCAGCATAACAATTAACGTCAGTTTGGCGACTTTCAAGTAGGTTGCATCATATCGAGGATCTTTCTCGAGAGTTCCGAAGCGGAACGGGTTCGCTAATCATTCTCATCACGACCGATGCGGAGACTCTACAAGAGTCTCGTCGACGGATCGTTCCAAGATGCAGATGCAGGAAGCCGAAGGTGCCGATGGTGAGTAAACGCACGTTTCTCCTTCTCGGAAACACTCGTTTTCAATCACATCCAATTTCCTTTTCTCCACGAGCTTTGTTCCTTCGACGGCTTAACCTTGCTTGGCGTACCTTCCTCGATCTTTTTACTAAATCATTCCAAAGTTAATCCTAAGACTTAATTTATCAGCAATCTTTCTTTTTTTTTTATCGGTGAATTTGAAAGGAATCGATGTGTTTGAAAGGAACGCAGGGAATATTTAGAGATGCAAGAAAGTACGCGTGCACTTTTTAAATCTTTCGCGTTTTCACATGTTTTTTCACAAATTTTTGACTTTTATTTATTTGTTTAGATGTAATAAGTAAATACGTAGCATGTTAGTATTCGATGAATAAAAGTATCGATAATTGTAGTATGCTATAAGATGCATTGATATTTTTTTACTTTAGGTTCACCATGGAATAATTCCAGTGGCTGTGATGAAGACCGTAGACCAGTCCAAAAGGAGGGTAAAAAATCAAACGTACTACCATTATGGGGCAATGAAAGGACTATGAATTTGAATCCTTTGATTCTCACCAATATACAATCGTCGCACTATTTCAAGGTGAATCTGTATGAGCTCAAGACTTACCACGAAGTGATTGATGAGATTTATTACAAGGTTTCTCATCTAGAACCATGGGAAAAGGGCAGCAGGAAAACTGCAGGCCAGACTGGCATGTGTGGAGGCGTGAGTATGTTTTCTCAGGAGAAATGTTAATCTTTTTTCTTCTTTTGATTCTTTTTTTCTCCTTTCTTTAATTATTAATGCCTTTGTTAAAAATTTAAGACTAAGAGAGAGAAAAAGAGAGAGAGAGAGAGAAAGAAAGAGAGAGAGAGAGAGACAAAGTCATCGCACATCGATGTACTTGCTTGTACACAGATGATTGATTGTAGTGCACTAGCCAGCAACTTATGGGCGAATTGTCAGATGAGAGATGAAATATCCGATGCTGAAAAACATATTCAACATTCAGATCGATAATCTATTGATCATTGATTTGGATGTAACGGTGTATTCGATGCGAAGAGAGATATTAATGTTGTTACAAGATGATTTTCGAGCATAATAGATCTCGTCTTTGCCTTTGTTTCCTTTTTCACTTAATATTTTTAAATGTTCCTACGTTAACGAACATTTAAATAAATAGAAAAAAATTGTGTTTGTCAAATTGTAAAGTAGAAAATTTGAATTTTAAATGTTTTGTAAAAAAAATAAAAAACATAATGGACAAATTTACATATACATATTGAATTATGATCATACTGCAATAAATGCAATGACATTATGTGAAGCAGAGACCGAGTTCTAACATTTGTTACAGATGGAACTGCAAAGTAGTAAGAAAAAAAATCATCTAATTAATATCGCTGAATTTACATATAAGACGAGGGCTTATAACATGAAAATCTTAAGTCAATAACATAAATAACTTTTTTGTAAGAAAATCATATGTTCGTGCGATGGTAATATTACCAATGTTGGTTTATTCATGACTTTTAAGCCCTTTTGGTACTATTATTATCATTATATATTGCGCAAAGTGTTAACCGCACCACTTATTGCAGAATAGCATGTATTTGGTCCATATGTTGTACGGTAACACGAATGTGACTTAACTGACTGAGGGGGGTGTAAATTTAGCGGTTCATGCAGGTACGAGGCGTGGGAGCTGGCGGGATTGTCTCCACGGCTTACTGTCTACTGTATAAACTCTTCACGCTGAGACTGACGAGAAAGCAGCTGAACGGACTCATTAATCATCCGGATTCACCCTACATTCGCGCCTTGGGATTTATGTACATTAGGTGATTTGATTTTAATTTAATATATATTACAATTTTACGTGATATTTCTTAAAATTACTGCATAACATTTTTAGTGAAAATATAATCTAAACGGTTTTTTATACAGATTTTTATATTTAATCGTCCAAATTTTTCAAATTGTAAGTTGATCATGATTACAGTCATATAAACAATTTCAATTACAGATATACGCAACCACCAGCAGACTTGTTTAGCTGGTACAGTGATTATCTGGAGGATGAAGAGGAACTAGATGTAAAGGCGGGCGGTGGACAGACGATGAAGATGGGAGACATCCTCAAGCAGTTTTTAACGAAACTCGAGTGGTTCTCTACGTTGTTTCCACGGATTCCAGTACCAATACAAAAGGATCTGGAGCTGCGACTTGCCGAGCGGTTTCCGCAGCAGCAGGTGAACGCGCGCAATGCTAAACCACCGATCACCCTCAACAGCCATGGCAAGTATGGCAATAAGGACAGCCGTAATAAGGACAATGGCAATCTGATGTCACGCAACCAACAGGCTCGACACATTCCCGACAACGAGACTCAATGGGGTGAGGCGGAACGTATGAGTCACTGGCGTGCCAGGTGCGTCCACGTGGTATGAGTACAACGATCACGTTATTTATTAATTTTCTTTGCTTGTATATGTGTATGATTATAACATTGATTTTATTTCGATATTCATCAGGAAATCAAGTCGAGGCGAGAGTCTAGACGCGAGGAAAAACTCTTAGGAAATTGTTATCCTTACATACATACATACATATATATGTTTATCATTGATATTTAAATGCCAATGAGAAAATAAACCCCCACAATAGATTATATTTTGCAGTCAGGGCAACCAATGTCATACTTCCGTTTGAACGTATTTCTTTGCAGATCCGATGAGGATCGCAAGGACAAGAATAGGGAACGCGACCGGGAACGAGAGAGATTGCGAGAACGCGATAGAGAGAGAGCCCGTGAAAGAGATCGCGAGAGGGACAGACACGGCAGAAGATCCGATAGTCGTGATAGAAATAGAAGACAAAGAGACTACAGAAGTCGCAGTAGAGACAAGTACAGAGATCGGAGTAAGGACCGTCATCGCGACAAAGATCGACATCGGGATAGGTAAGTACAAAAGAATACAGAATTTTAAAGAGAAGATTATCGTTACAGTTGCTTTAGAATACTGTTGCGGTGCTCTAAAAAAAATTGATGCTAAAGATTTATCAGAAATGTTAATTAATAATTAAATCAATATCGTTTTAAATTTTTGCCTTTAAAACCCACTTCTTTACTATTCATATTATTAATTATCGATCGTGAGACCAAGAAGCTAATTTTATAAAAAGAAAATGTATGTATAACATTTTTCATTTTTAACATCTCTTGTAATATTGAAATAAGAAAACAAATTAAAGCTTTTTATATTAGATGTTTTTCGTGTTTAAATTCTTTACATTCCAATTTGTGTTTTACATTTCAATAAGATTGTTGCGGGTTCTAAAAAGTGATTATTTTAATTCTAGGAGAGGTTCGCCATACGATTATGCCACAGAATTGGCACGTGAGCGAGAAAGGCAACGAAGGGAAAGAGAATGAGTGACAAGAGAGATTTTCTTTCACTCTCTTTCTGCATATACCGTGTACATATTTAATTATTTATATGAATGATGGGGATTAAGAAAAAGTGACGGCAAACTTTCATACCGAGCCATACTAGCACACATGTCTACCGTGTGCGCACTTACAGAGGGATGCATTCTGAAGCAAGATATAGCCTAAGTTAAACTCGTCTATATTCACACATATGTAGTTTACATGTTTTTATAATAAACTCGTCACACCATCATTGCTGCTTTTTATCATATATGTTATGGTATTTTGGCATTGTCTGGGAAGACTTCAAAGAGTGAATTTATTTCCAATTTTTTTCACATAAAAAAATTACATTGTCCTATGTATAATAAATTAATGTACTAAATTAATGTATGTGATTGAAAAGTAATTTCTGACAATTTTATAATCTCGTAATTCTGAAATATCCGAATATTTTAATTTCAAATTAATCGCTTTTCTTTAGGGGATAGTTTTTATGTAAAAGAAAAAAAATTGCTTTTGAGATATTTTTCTTTTTACAAAATGAGCAAAATTTAAAGTCGTTGAAATGATTTTTATTGCGCAAGTTGTATTTGTAGTATGAATCTGTATGAATAAGATGACGACGAATTGTGTCAAGATAGGTCGTTGCAGCGCGGCTTAATGAAGCGACGAATAAAAATGGCGACGACGTCCGAACGCGGAGCAAGCCTGCGACAAGTCAATGAACCATGAGAGAGGCACTTGTCACCAGATGACAGCGTGACAAGGTGAAGAAACGATCGAAAAGTTATCGCTGACGTTTATCTCACGAGTGGACTTGTTGAACGCGCATCGATTCTCGCGTGCGTACGTGAATAAAATTCCGAATTTACGTCGCTCGAGTTGTAGTGTTTATCTTATGTTGGACTGTATTATATCCACAGTTATGATTTTGATGGAACGAAAAGACGTTCACTTAATTATAATTAACGGTAATTAGTCTATTTCGGTGCGACCAACGTCACAATGTTGTCGTGAATAACAATGACGTACTGCAAACAGGAAATGCGTCATGCAACGCGGGAAATTTAATTTTTGATTTTTTGTAATAATTATTTTTCTCTCAGTTGTTTAGGATACTTTTAAAAAATTATCTTCTAGAATGTAAGTTTGTAAAAAGAGAAATTCTTTATTTTGATGAAAATATGTATAATTTGAGATATAGTCAACCGAATTAAGAAATTTTAAGAAGAATCAAGAAAATTAAAATTTGTTTACTGAGACATGTCATCTTGTGAATTTAAAAGATAGATGAGATCTTTAAGTATTAATTAAGACTTAAATAGATATTTCAGTTCCATAGTTAATTCTATATAAAAATTGTTACTCTCAATTTAATAATTAACAATAATCTCATTTTACTGTTACAAAATTGTATAATAATTGCTACCATTTACAAAAATCGCAGATGGTTGGCCGACGTTGCGCCTTTTTCGCCCTGAGCATCCTCCTGATATTACTCCTCAGTGTAAATATCTACTTCATCCAGATGATTGTCGAGAGTTCTTCACGGAAGATCAATTCCAGAAATATACCAGAACCAAAATCTGAACAAAACCATTTCACATCTTTACGATCCAATGAAAAGGATCTGCAAGATCAATCACAGTTGAGATCAATTGTAAAGGACATTAATGAGAAGATCAAGGAAGAGATTCGCACACTACCCTCCAAGTATTTTAAACAGAATACCAGCTATACGCTTGTTCTGGAACGGTTGCTAGCTGAGCTGAAAATAATGTCAAATGTTCATGAGGATATCTGGAATATTCCTAATAATGTTAGTAAAAACAATTTTCATATATTTTGAAGAATTTACTATAGATTTTGAGATTTTAAAATTTAATTTTGTTAAAAATTAAATATAATAAAATAACTGTTTGTTATTTTAGGCAATGTTTGAAGAGAGTTTATTATCTTGATTTATTTGCTAAAGTTATATAATTAATTTTTGTATTTTTTATAATTTATTTAAAATAAATTTATTATTAAAGTAATAATTTAATAATAAAGCATAAATATTATTTATTATACATATAGTGGCCAGATGCACATCAGCTAATTCCACCAGCAGCTCCAGAACTAGGTACTATCTTGGAGGTCTTGCGTAGGTCTAAAATAGTTCGTGCTGATAATGCTCCATTGGGTACTCAGCTGAAACTCATGCTTAATCTTGAAAACGACGTAAAAGCATTATTCAAACCACAGTGGTATTCCAGAGATGCTATTATACATGGACCAGTATATCATGGCAAAGATAGACACAATGCTGAAGTAGTGGCTTTTTATTTATCATCCTTGCTAGGATTGCGAAGAGTACCTCTTACAGTTATAAGAAAACGTATGTTGAAATACAATGAAGGGAATAAGGAGATGGAAAACAATCCGAATTAGAATTGCCGTAATATTTTCAATTAAATTAAAATTGCAATTCAATTAAATCAAAATTGTGATCAAATCTTAATATATAAAAATCTTAATTAAATTATTCTCTTTTTTAATAGAGAATATCTTAAATCTTAAGAATTTGTTCAAATCTTAATCGTTTTCTGACTAATTATTTTCCTAAAGAAAGCATAATATTTTGACCTTTCTGCTATAAATTAATAAAGTAAGACATTCCCTCATTCTATTTGTAGTTGATCTAACAGAGGAAGTTCGCAATCTTGCAGCGCCTGCATTATATACAACTATGTATCAAGAAGGTAATGATACATGTCTGTATGGTGTTTGTCATTATTGTTCTCTGACTGATCCCGTTTGCGGGTCAGGAGGCATACTCGAAGGTGCCCTCATTTTTTGGCTTCCACGATATTTAAGACTAGTCAAACATCGTCATCCTTGGCAACGAACGTACAAAAAAAATAAATTCGCTGCATGGGAAGTCGACGAGGCTTATTGTGATAAGGTATATTGTTAAATATAAATTTTTTTTACTAAAAGTGTGTGTGTATTTAAATATAGTATTTAAAAAATATATATGTATAAAATTAAGCAAATACTATTAATATAAATACTATAAATATTAATAAACGAAATTATATGTTGATATGAAGTATTGTGTTTAGATGCTTTTAATTCATGTACTTTACATTTCTGCAAAATGAAAAGAATTATAAAATTATGTATAAAATAAAAAGAGTCCATCTTACCAAAAATACATTTATAATATTTTATGTTCTTCAGAGAAAATGCGAAATTAACAATTTTATTTTCAGGTGATGGATTCTAAGACTTATTCGCCGCAATCATCTAGTAGATTGTTGGACTTGATTGATACGGCAATCTTTGATTTTCTCATGGATAACGGCGATCGCCATCATTATGAACTTGCCCAAAATAATTTCCATAATCCCGCGGTACTGTTAATCGATAACGGGAAGAGCTTAGGCAATCCTGATGTAGATCATTTCGATATCCTGGCGCCTCTTTATCAGTGTTGCATGTAAGTATAAAAGTATAATTGTTAGTTATAGTGGAATAAAATGTATTTAATACACTTTAATGTTACTTCTCTGAAGATCGAAATATTTAAAGCTGCATTGAAAATCTATCTTTATCTCTCCCTTAGTTTTAGTTTTAGAAATTGTATGAAAAGTGCACAATAAAAATTTTAAAAAAATTACGAAATTGAAAAAAGTCAATTTTATTTCAGAATCCATAAAACTACATGGGACAGGTTGAGATTATTCAGCGGTGGATCTTTAAGTATTGGATTAGGTAAACTTACTGCATACGAAGCTGAAATATCGGATGTTCTTCCACTAATCACAGAAGCACATTTAAATGCTATGGATAGAAGATTACTTATCATCTATGCCGTGGTAGAAAATTGTCTAAAGAAAAAGAAATATGTTTCGAATGTGATCTTAGATCATCGGTAGCCAGAGAATAATTTTTTTTTAGAATGTAAAGAATTTTGACATAAACGTTAGAAACGATGGTTTTTCAAATTTAATAAGGAGAGTGAAAGTGCGAGAATTGGAAAGTTTAATTAACAATTAAATAAAATTAAAAAGATTAAGGATCATAAAAATATAAATACTTTTTTAAAGAGATTTTTTAAATAATATTTTATTTTGATAATTATGAACTCAACTCTTTATGTAAAATAAATATCTATAATTTTTTTTTAATTTATTATATTTGATGGAGAAAGAGAGAATATATAATTTCTTTACTGGAAATTTTTACTTAAGTATAATGATTTTTATAATGATTTTTTGCAATATTTTTCAAGAGATGTTCAAAAGATAAGTGCGGATTGAAATGAGAAAGATGAACAAGACAGATTTGAATGCGATTTATTTGATGACACAGTTAATTATCATTATTTGGATAAAGTTTGGAGTGCTGTGTACAGCGTTATAAATATGGTATAAACGTAAAAAAACCTGTAAATGCGATTGTATTATCGTATGTGTATTATTATATATTGATGTGTCCTCTTCTCTTTTCATATCTAGAGAACACCATGCCATCAATCATATACATTATATATAGTCTTCATGAATCTCGCATTACCTCCCATGACAGTGATCTTTTAATTAGCATAATTAAAAACGCACCTTTATTTTTCTACATTTTTCTTTTTTAAATAAATCTGTAAATCTGTGCTTAATTTTTCTTAATTTAGAAAGTTGTGTTATCTGCAATAAAGTTCCTGAACTTTAAAAAATTTATAAGGTTCATGAACTTTAAAAATTTAAAAACAAGTTGAAAGAAAAAGATAATTATGGCTGATTTGTTAGATAATATATTTTCTAATAAAATTTTTTATATAAATTTAAACTTTTGATTCTAATTATATAAAATTAAGATTTTTCTTAAAATATATACACATGGAATGAAAAGAAGAGAAAGTATTTCTTTTTCCTACTTACAAGATATGATAAACGAACATTATCTATAAGTAGAAAATATAAAAAAGTGCAGGCAAATAAAACTGTCGCAGGGAGATATCGAGGCCCATTTGTATGGGACTTTGAATCGAATTTGCAGCATTCTAGCGTAACCTATCTTGCTTTATGTATCATATTTACAACATTACATGACCAGAATTATTCACGTAGCTTACAGGCTAGTTAAAAATTCCATTTTTTAAATATGTATATATCTATATAATATATTTAGAGCGCCGTATCATCGTTCAGGTATATGAGATTGTGTGTACGTGTTTTTGTGTATGTATGTGTGTGTGTATATATATATATATATATATATATATATATATATGTATATATATTATATCAACATTCTTTAATTAAATAGAGCTTTCGTAGCAAAGTATGTATAAATAGACTATCTTTGCACAGACCACGATTGTTTGCTTCGAACTCGTTATTTTTATTTTATCTGTTTAAAAGCAAGAATTGTCCATTTATTCGTGCTTGAGATCCGTCCGTGTTTAGATAATATTACATAAAAAATATGTATCGGACGAAAGAGAGAAATCTCTTATTCTTTAAGAATTTTTCGGTTCGAAGCCATTTCCCTTTTTTACGCTCTACCATTAATACTGTATATATTAAACGACGAGATCGAGACGAGTCGACTTTCATTTTAATTATACGCTCGTCGTGAATGAAAAAAAATGCGTCCCATCAAAATAGAATTCCGCAAACGGCAGCATAGAAATTATTGCATCGCATTCGCGTGTTTACACTCCGCAGGAAATTAGTCGAACCGAAAAAATTGAGGAAAAATCTCTTCCTGATAATATGGAATCAAATTTTTCATACTTTTAACATATATTACTGTTAAAATATCTTCACGAAATACAAATTGCAATAATATAATTAAATTAAGAATAAAAAGAAATTTACTTGTACACAATTTATATTTTAATGTTTCTGCTAAGAAGTTAATCTCTTTTACGTATTGAAATTCTTTTTTATTTTTATTTAGTTAAAATTTAGAAAAGATTTTTAAAACAAATTGAAAATTTTTCTATCTAATTGTTCGAATTCTAATCAAATTTGATAAAAAAATTTTGTTTTAATTTAATTTTAAATCTTTTAATCTCGAAAACGTATAAACTTAATTTCATAATGAAACTTGTAAATAAATTTCTTTCGGTTCGCCTATTCTTCAAAGAGTGAAAAGTCGACACGCTTATTTGTCGCCGTTTTTCGTTCATTTAATATTACATATCACACCTTTGGTGCAGAATGCACGTAAAAATCCATAAATCTAGGCCAGTTTTAATAGGCATATTAAATCCCTCTTAGGTCGTAACTGAAGCTCCTGGTATCGTGCGATTTTAAAATAGCTAACGTTTCATTTTGACTCGTTTTAATCTTATTGCGTTTTAGAGAAGTTTTAACAAACATAAAAGATTATATTTATTATGACAAGAATTTACACACAAATATTTAATTGAACTGTTACCTCGACTCGGAAATATGATTTATATTTATAACTTTTTTCTCGATTTTTAGTCTTAGAGATATTCCGCTGATATTTTTCCCTGATGATGAGGATATATCCCCGATATTTTTTGTAATTATGATTTATTTTATAAATTCTTTCGCTCTGAATTTTTTCGGCGATCAAAATGATTGCAAGAGTTATCGATTTTTATTTTTATATCTTTCTTAGCTATTGAGCAGTGATACATATCGACCTTTCGGCGATGAATTTTTTCACGATATTTTGCTAATTTAGAGTGCCGATTCCACTCCTCGTATCGAACTGCTCAAATCCTCTGAGTGACGAGTATGTGATGAATCGAGGGATGTCACTGAATCGCTGTCGTTGCTGTGCGGACTCGAATAATTAGCCGCTTCTTGCAGCCTCATCAGCATATTAAGCTGTAAAAATAAAAGTTAAATACAATATTGAAAAATCGATTATGTAATAAGATTACTGATAAGATAATTTATTTACTGTACTTATTGTGCAAGAATCTAGTATAAAATGTAAATTTTTTCGGTTTTTTCCTTTTTTGTTTCAATTATTTTATTTATCTAGAGGAATAATTTTTATGTGATATGATAATGTAATTAATTTATTTTTAATTTGAAATTTATGTATATAGATCTCTGAATTCATTTTTGATAGATATTTTGCCATATCTCTCTCTTTGGAAATTAATTTTTTATTCGAAATATATATCTGATTATTAAATAAATATTATTTAGATAGAATATTATTTTATTCGAAATATATATCTGATTTTAAAGTTTCCTGATTTCAATATTTTTTATATTAACCAGAGGATCTCCTTCGGTGTCACTGTGAGTACTTCCAAGACTCTTTACACTGGAGGCACCCACGCCAGAATTATGTCCACTGGAGACAACATCGTATCCCACGTCCTCGGGTCTCAATCGTAGAAGAGCATCGCTGCCGCCATGTACAGCATGTGTCGACAGCCATGGATAGCTGGACGTGATAAATTGCGCTGGATCTTCCCACGTAGGTTCGCCGTTTCCATTTCCGCTCACGCGTCTTCCGTATAATGTCAAGCCTTCTCTGACCGCCTCCACCAGGTAAGGTATAACCGAATAATTCCATAAATCGGTAAACCATACTTGAGAGCCAGCCACTTCCATCGGGCACGATAAGAAAAGTCGCGGTCCTAAGATATTTATCAACACTTGTTATACTATAAAGTAATTGAAATAAATTAGTATAGGAAATTTACATTAATAAGAAACAATCCCACATAGCATGCATATCCAAAAGATGTCCAGAAGATATCTTTGGGCGATTAGATATCTTCAGGATGTCCTGTTAATGTATTTTGGACATAGGATGCTATGGGATATTTCAACCTAAAAAAAAATAATAGAATTTTATGATGAAAGGAAGGAATATTTTAATATTAAAGACATTGGGGGAATTTAAAATCATAAAATTTATTAAAGATTTTTGTTTTAAACGTTAGAATTCTTTAAGATTCGACACAACTTTTTAATTCGAGTTATATCTTTCGAGATGTATAGAAATGTATTTTTACCTATGGTGACGTCGGAACTACTGTGAGTTTCTAGGAACTTGTTGAGATGCAACCACACACGGGGCAGCCACTCTACTACCGCTGCCATTTCCGCGTTCCTCGTTCCGGCGCACTCGCGCAATTCGTGCTCTAATAATTTTCTTCTCAGATAACGTCCCAGAAATCCTTTGACTGGCTCCATGTGATTTGCGCATAATACCCACCTGTTCACAATTACATAATTTTAAAAAAATCCTAAATATTCTAGACTTTCCATCTCTCTTTATATCAAAAAAATTATCAATTTCCTTTTACTATTTTCAGATTATAATTAAAAATCATCTTTTAACAGCTGAAAATACCTGAAGTTGTGATGCAATTGTAAGTTGGTGGTACTGCAAGTAGCCTGACTCATAGTACCAATGATGGCAGGACATGATGAGTGTCTGGTTCCTAGAAGACCACTAAAGAGCTCGCCCAAAGACGCCGCATGTTGAAGATTTTCCAAAATAATCACTCTGGGCAATTCATCAGCGGCGCTCGAGTCACATCTCTCGGCAATGTGCGCAAGATATTGACGTAATTCCTTACTGGACTTGTGATCGACGTTGAATGTCGCAACGGCGGCAGCGTCCTTCGTGTCATTGTCGGTGTCCACTAGAGCGTGCGCCAATTTCCCAGCCAGGTAACTCTTTCCTGTACCACTTGGACCGCACAAAATCACTCTACGATGTTCCGTTAGAAGGGAGATTAGACGTTGAACGATAGAGCGTGGTATCAGAGTATCCACTGCTAACCAGGAATAACCCGACAACACTAGGTAAATAGTCTTTACATGGCCAACGAGATAGCCACAGGGCAACAGTTCGGGATGCTGAGAATCGGTGGTGCATCTGTATGACACGGAAAAAGAAATATATTTTAATTATTTTATGAATGAAAGTAAAAAAGATACATTGTAAGAAATATAAAATTTAAAATGTATATTTATATATATATTTAAGATATTTATTTAAGATATTTTTGGGAAAGTAATCTTTCCTGAATTATCATTCAACTATCACAACTTATTGTCAAATTTTTAATTTATATTATTTTAAAAAGCTCCAAATAAAAACATACCTGGAGGCTTCGCCAAGATGGTACGCGGCGACGCACTCGACACCAAGACCTAAATTTGTCACAGGATCTACTCGAGAAACGTACTCTTTGAAGCAACGCCTCACCATAGAATCCAACGCGTCCCAGCTGGTTTTGTTGCTAATGCATACGCTAGCGATTATGCAATGAGGCGGTTCGCCTATAGTGCCATCGGTGGAACCGCTCCCGGTAATTAAATTGTAGTTGAAATTTCGTTCGCTACCAAGATAGACGGCCACATTAATCCTCTTGCCATCGGTGTCCTGTTCGAGAACCGGTTCTGAAGTTGTTGCGTTCGACGGCACTACGTCGTGTTCGACCGGGACGTTGAGATCTTCTAGTTGGTCGGCCGTGGAGCTGGCATCGCCGTTCGACAATGCCGCGACACTCGATGCGACTTCGGTCATACTGAAACGTCGATCTGGATCACTGGGTAGAGAAGACTGCGAGGAAGTGAGAGACTTCGAAGTCACCAGCCGCTGGAGACGCTCGTTATTCTGCTTCAGATTCAGCATTTCATACTAAAAACAGCGATAAAATAATAGAAAATATATTATAATAGAGATAAATTGTATAGAAACAATTTTAACAGCGTATCAGTTTTATGATGCAAATATTTCTAACATTATAAAATATTTACTTGCATATTAGAGAAATGTTGAGAAAATTTTATAATGTTTGAATTAGAAAATATTGAAATTTGCATAATCCTTTTATTGCAAGTACTTACTCTCATCTTGATAACCGTGTCCTTTAAAGATTCCAATTGATGAGCCGAGGATAACGCTTCTAATCTAATATCTGTGAGCACCAGATCTTTCTCTCTCAATTGCTTTTTCAACTCGTCCACATCTTCATCCTCCTTCTTATATAGAGCCGAGCTGCTCTTACTTCCCGATAGAGGATTTTCATGATCGGGTGACTTTTGGCCATTACTCCTCGCGGCTTGACCCCTCGAAGACTCGTGCTTGGACGCGGTTGGTAGTCTAGGACTGTTGGGAGCACTTAGATCACCACCAGGACTCTCTTTGCAATCTTCGGCATCGGATACTGAACCATGTCGATTTTTGCGCGATCTCGAGAACGCCTTAGAGAAGGAGCTGCGGAGCCAGCCTTTCTTCTTATGATGATTGCTGCTCGCCGAGCAGGCGCTACTCAGCGAGTTCAAGGATGTCACGCTATCCGCGGACAACTGTCTCGCCATCGATGCACCTTGATGATGATGATTGCTGCTGCTGCTGCTGCTGCCGGTGCAGCCAGTAGTACCAGATTCGGAATCGCCTAAAGTATGACGGCGACCATTGCTCGCGGCTGGACCGTTATTTAATCCGGCTTCAGCACTCTGTTTGCGTAGCCTTTCGATCGTTTCTCGAAGTTCCTGAAGCTCAGAATCCTAGAAAATTGTCGAGATTACTTTTTTATGATAACAGAAATATATATAGATTGGATATTACTTAAATCTATAATTTAAAAAAAATTAAATCCGGCGAAGTGAAAATTTATGCGGAATAAAAATGTTTCTCGTCAATTAGTAGAAATAATTAAGCATTGATTTTTGTAATAAAAATAATATTATTAATTATTTTCACCTTCTTTTCAGCTGTTGCTGTGAGTTGCTGCAATCTTTGAGTCATGTTGGACAGTGATTGCTCAAAGGCCGAGACTACATGTGCCTGAAACAAGAAGAGTATGCAATTTTTAATTTTTAATATATATATCATCAAGGTAAGAATTATATAATTATATGAAAATAATTGTGTCATTGTATTATATTATGTTTGTTTTTATATAATTATTATATATATATATATATATATATATATATATATTTCTATTATTAATAGAAATATATAATAATTACAGAAATTTAAATTTAAAAAAGTATAATTATATATATAAAACATGTAATTTTATTAGACAGTTTTATTTTGTAATAAAATATAATTTTATTTTTCTACAATATTTCTAATAATCGGAGCTCTCAATAATGATGATACAAAAATATGTGAAAATATACATAAAATATAAAATAGATATTATACATATTATGTCATATCAAATAACAACTATGATTCAAGCGATGCCTGATAATTTTGATGAACGTCCAGGGCAAAGATTAATACGTAGTTTATAATCGTAGTTTGTTTTAGGAAGTATCTACTGGCGTGATGGAGTGTCGGAGTATCGACACTCGTGTTTCTCATCACGTAATTAGTCTCTCAAGATCTGGGCGCGTGTTTTCAACACTATGTCACGAAGCGAGGAGGATGTTCAGTTATAGCGTAGGAAGAAAGAGTTCGCGCGCTGATGAAACGCTCTGTAATCTAAATTGGAGCGATGCAAATTCTCTGTCAGTTTCTCTCTCTTTTTATTCTTTTTTCAGTTCGCTGGTCCTCTTAGTCTATTCCTGACCATATGGTCGACGGCTGTTCGTTGTTATACTGCTCTTTTACAACTCTTGTTATTATAACTAGCGGCTGTAACTAGCATCAGCAATGACATGCTTGAATAGTGTTAATTGCATTTTATTTCATCGCGAAATATCATAGAGTATTATTATTTGTAACATTGTAATTAAATGTTACGAGATAATAAATGATTACATATACGAACCATCTAATTGTTATATGTATATGTGCAACGAATGAACTTTACGAATGGATATTATTTATAGAAATAATAATTCATATAATTCATATGACGAATTATTATAGACATTTTTGATTATAGTGTGATTGCTTTAATTACATATTTTTTAAATCACGTATTTCTAATTACTTTATAATTAACTTAATAACAAGATTTGTGTTTTCAAATTCCACTAATCTTTATTTTCTCTCTTTTCATCGAATTTTTCATTTTTATAAGCACTTTTATATTATTAATATAATTAAAAATTACATTGCTCTAGAAGGTTTTGTGTAAGGCTAATTTTAATAATATCTTCTTTAATGAGATATTACAAATTACTGGGATTTAATTCTTTTTCTCATTTAAAAAAATTTTACAAATCTTAAATTAAAAAAAAAAAATATTTATTCGTCACATATATTTAAAAAAATAAGATTTGTAAATTTGATAATGATTAAATATTCAATGAAAAGATTTCCAAAAGCTAAAGTCCACTACTAAAGACCTTTCTTCAAGAAAGAAAAAAAAATATTAGAAAACTTATGATTTTTTTTAGGTGTTTACTAGAATAAAAATGCAGTCATTGAACTTGCTTTGATCATCATCTCGTTACCACGGAACAATTTCAAGTCTCCATCACCGAAGTCGCGATCGTTTCCGCGAATGTAAGCACCATCCTCTTCCTTCTTTTCAGAAATATTGTGCAATCAGACGATCCTGAATTCTAAGAGGACAATCAACGTGAGTTCCTTCTTTTTTCTTCGCGAAGGAACAAGCGTGGAATTTCATCAGGATAGCGAACAAAGAGATCGCGATGGGAGTCGGAGGACTTCGAACGTGTATGAGTGCAATTCTGGAGTCGCGCGCGTAATTCCGGAGGAAATTATTTCGCTCGTAAAACGGTAACAGCGAACATGGGACGCGTAATTCGCCACCGCGAGAGAGTGTCTCGAGGGGCTCATTGTCCCACCTTATTACTTTAACGCGCGACGTGAAATGACTCCTGACATCATCTCGTAGCTAGGATGCAAGGTCCTTTGGCTGGACGCCGACCTCAGTTTTTTTCTTTCGAGATAGAAAGATATTTATATTCGAATAAAATTTTTAAACTAAGATATGCTACATCGAATAATTATATCGATAATTACATCCTCTATCGTAACGAAATTGCATTCTCCCTCCAAAAAATCTTTTTTTTCCTTTTTAATCAAAAATCCAAGATGTATATTCATTTCTTTTTAAATTTAATACATGAAAAACAACAAAAATTAAGATCGGATTTAATCATATAAATTGAAATCGAGTCTATATAATGGAGTCCATCTCATTTTACAGCTGGAAAATAAGTATTCCTTAGAGTACAAACAATTCTGAATTTGTTAAACAACTCAGTTGAAAGAAAATGATATTTGCATACCCTGTAGATTTGTTCCAAGAGGATAAAAGTACTTGAGACCGAAGGGAGTCGGTGGTCCATTCGATATGGATCGTAAATATTGGCTCCCACGCTTGCCGCTAATATGCTCGGGTTCACCTACCGCTGAGATGCACCCGAGAAGTGCGTATACACACGATATATATTCTCGTAAAAGAGCCACCTACTCGCCTTACTCGGCCTTGCACCTCCCTCGAGTATTTTGTTCCAGGCATTTCTTGCATCAGATTGCACCCGATATATTAAAATTCTGACCCATTTATTATTAATCGTCGCGTTGCAGCGCATTACTACCATAGAGATATTAATTGAGACATCAAACTCGAAATATAAACAATGTTAAAATGTATAAAATAATATTATAATTAATTTTCCTCAAGGAAAAATATATTAGTAACGTAATTATAATATTTCTCTAAAATTAATATATTAAGAGAGAAAATAAAAGTTAAAAATTCATATAAAAAATTAATTACATCCAAATCAAATCAAATTAAGATATATTATTTGCATTTACATATAATAACTAACATATAATTATAACAACTATTTTATAATTACATAAGATATTATTTATTTAAGCTATGTGTTAATAAAAAAATATGTCGATATAGGACTCGAATTTTTGTCGAGATTTGCAAGATAGAGAGTATATCATTCAAAATTATTTCTAGTTTTTTACATAATATCGTTATTCTTGGTGTTAACATTTTTTATAATAACACAAAAGTTTTCCTTAGAAAAAAACCTCGCGGTTTCGTCTCATTGTGTATCCAGTTTAACGAAGGGTCCGCTGACAGTCGAGGACGAACGAAGCTAAAAACTGGACCGGAAGCCTGCGGCAAAAACGCACGTGCCGTGGAGCAGAATGCATCGCGCGCGGTGCACAGTGATGCGCCTTGTTCTCTAGAGAAAACGAAAGCCGGTGCATCTTGACGAGAGCAAACAGCTCGGTCGATATTTTAATCCTCAACGAACATGTCTCTTGAGCTTTCTAATTATATTTAAAATCTTGTGTCTATTGATCGAATAAATAAAAAAAAATAATAGTGATAATAGTGATACACTAATTAAAAACAATTTTATTAAAATATTGTGATAATGATTTAAAAAAAGATTTGAAACATAGCAGTAACATAATTAAAAAGCATCGTGATGTAATACAATAGCAATCAGTCGCATCTTATGATAATAATAGTTAAATCAAATTACATTGAAAAAATAATATATAATTAAATCAAATTTGATAATTCTAAAATTCTAAAATTTCTATTTTCCTTTTTTTTAGAATTATGTTACAAATTGAATCTTTTTTTGTATAATACATATTTTAATTTTGCATAAAATCTAGTATGCAATTTGAAACAAGAGTTGAAACATGAGAGTTAAAGAACAATCTAATATCTCTATTTCGCGCAAATTCCTCACAAATTATCCTGTGAAAAAAGGGTTAAAGTTGCTGCTTTCGAAATATCTCGCGTGTCTACGTGTATGAAATACAGAATATGTTTCAAACTTAACAATTTTTTTCTCTCGGAAACGATATATTCCACAAAGTGTGCACTTGTGCGAGACATTTGTGATCTTTAAGACGCAGTTAGAAGACCTATAAGATGACTGATAGATACGATAAGTCAAGGTCTACCAGGCTCAGCTACTTCTTACAGTTACATACTGTATTCGTATGTATGTAGTTAAGTACGATAAATCAATTTTACGCGCCTATTATGTTTTATTATATGTCGGATAAAGATTTACATTCATTTGAAATACGTCGCTAAAATGATCACTAATTAGAAATATACGAAGAAATACAGCGAATAAATTACACAGTAAAAAAACTAATAATTTACGCGAATTTTCTCTCAAAGATGCAATATACATTTTTTTTGTCAATTTGTTTATTAATCTTGTACGTATGGAAAGATTATTTATATATAGATTCTAATTTAATTTTCCGATGACATCTAATTAATTGAATTATTTGTAAAAATAAATTCACTGAGAGAATCGTTAAAAAAAAATTTCAGAATGTAGTGAGTACATAAAGTTCGCTTTTACGTAGTTTGTAGTACCCTATATATCGCATTGAAGCATCGCATTTTTTACAGTCTGAGAACTGTTAGCCCAGTTAGCTCGGATCGTAACGCTTCGAGGATTTTGTCGTGTTTACAACGTACATTATCCCAGTTGTTCCCACTACCATGTGCCCTCTTGTGTAATTGTTCGTGCAAAAAGAAGGGCGAGGATCAGCTTCATACCTAATAATTAACATCATGAAAACATTTTCAGGGTCGAGGTCTCTATAAATTGTATACATTCTTTCTTTCTCTTTCTCATTCTCTTTCAGATTTCTCTAAATATTCTCTTTTTAGATATATTTAGATATATTGTTATCTCTCAAAAATACATGTCACATACATGTGTCATATATTTAATAGTTAATCAATATAATAATTAATTAATTCGTTCTTTGGCTAATTCCTTTCAAAATTCTTTAACAGTGATTTTTTTTTAATTAGTTTATATTTTCCAGTATTTTAAAAAAATACTCTATTAATTATTTTTTTATATTTACTATATTTCACAAAATTATAACTAATTTGT